CCTTTTGAGTAGAAACTCCAATTAAAAGATTGTGTCTTCATATATTGTCTAATCATTATTAATATACTGTAACAAAAATTAGAAAACAATAATGCAAAAAAAAATTATTGAAAAGTTCTTATAATAAATAACTTATAAAACCATTTTTTGCTTTTAATTTCTTCCTACTCCAATAAACCCATACAAACCATATATTTTCTGAAAGCTCTCAATGTACTCTGTCTTATCATGCTAAAACGATCCCAATAGAGCTGATTTCTGAAAAGAATTAAGCTTCCGAAGTCAAAAACCATAGGTTTCTTTGAGAGGCTGTTACTCCATAACCGGAAGAGCTACAGGCGCATAAAGCTCCCGTTTTAAAGGTCAAAGGCAAGTGATTGTTTTTATTTAGAGGTACGAAAATTGTTTAATAATGAATTTACGTTCAATTAATTCGCCAAAGTCCGTTGTACAGAACCATCATATATTAAAATCAGTCACTGTGAAATGTTGTCCGACTAATATGTAATTACACTTCCTGTGACATATCGTTTGACTGTTAATAAAATCAAGTAAAAACAAAAATCCGTTGAAACGAAAATAAAATTCGAAATTCGTGTCACATGAAGTTTTTTTAAATATCTCGTTACTTTTATAATAACTCGAACTTCGTTGTTAGAGTAAAATGAAAGTACTCCATTAAAGCTTTCTAATGAATACTCTCTCATATCGAAAGGTCTTCTCTACGTGAATTCGCGGCTATTCAAAAACGGTATTACTTTTTCACTTCAAAGCTCAGATTATTTATTTCTCAATATCGCTTTAAAAGACTTGATAGTAAATGAGAGATGTAGAGTATTTTAAGCTTTCATATGGTCATTACTTTATGGGGGGTATTGGTTAATAAGTTTTAGAGAGGTTCACAAAAAACTATTTTATAGAAATTTAATAGTCATGAAGAATTTCATGTAGATGGGATTCAGCAAAAACTAAAAGGTATTTTATTATTGATTGTTTTATATTGGTTAAAGTTTCATTAATGGTTATTATGAATATCCATCAATCAGTAGTTGTTATAGCAACATTAAACAATAATATTAGTAGCAATAAATAGCAAATGACGATTACGAATCATCGTTTTTTGAGGATGATAATAAAGATTAAGATCCAGTTTGTATAGGAGTGATCGTTAAGGACAAGATTTATGAACAAAACATACTAACGAACGTTTTATCAATTATTCAATAGTTTGTATAGGAGTGATCGAATTAAGTGTTAAGGACAAGATCTATGAACAAAACATACTAACAAACTTTTTATCAATTATTAAATAGTTTGTATAGGAGTGATCGAAGTAAGCGTTAAGGATAAGATCTATGTACAAAACATACTAACAAACTTTTTATCAATTATTCAATAGTTTGTATAGGAGTGATCGAAGTAAGCGATAAGGACAAGATCTATGAACAAAATATACTAACGAATATTTATCAATTATTCAATAGTTTGTATAGGAGTGATCGAATTAAGTGTTAAGGACAAGATCTATGAAGCTCGCAAAGCAAGTTTTACAAAAATGAACGTTTTATCAATTATTCTAATCATTATTTATGTATATAAGTAAAGAAAATTTTTAAAATCTATTTATTTATTATATTTACTTTTAAAATAAATGATTTTACTATAAAAGACATACCTAAGTGATCAAAAATCTGTAAACATTCATAATAATGTAAGATTTGGACATTTATTTCTGCTTATGCTTGCAATTGGACGCGTCAACAAAATTTTACGTATATGAATATAAAGGCAAAATTCGACTTTGAGGGTCGGTTTTATTAACAACTTGCCTTAAAAATTTTCTTAAAGCAGATACATATGATAAAGAAGTTATATCTCAAATTTGGTGGTGGTTGCTATGTAAATCCGAATTTTACTATATATGATGCAGATCATCTAAATTTTACTGTTTTACACAGTCGGTAGTGCGTGCATACTTCCTAGCATTATTTATTGTTGAAGGTGAGACCTTGTAATTGACAAATTAATTGATTTTATAGTAAATAAAAGAACTTACATCCAACATATACTGTAATTCTTTATAAGAAGATTCTGGTGCAATTATTGACAATATACGTTGTATACAATTACTACCCTTATTATTATTTTTTAATGATTCTTTAAAACATTTCCAAAATTTTGGTATTGAGTCTTTTTGTTGATCTGGATTTAAATTTAAAAAACCATTTTCATATAAATATCTGAATTTTTTTTATTGTTGGATTCATCTTCAGCTCTAGTCCAATATTCAAACTTAAAATAGTGTCCGTTAAAATAATTATCCAATAAAAATAAATTTAAAGAATAAATAAATAAAATTGTACTTACACGTGATTCTTTGCTTGGAAAAGGTGTTATATTTTTACAGCCAGTTGATCTCAACATTGAATGCCATGTTCACTAAACCTATGTTCTTGTGGATATATTTCTAACAATTCTGTATATAATCCAATTACTTCATCTTTTCGATCCAACCAAGTTAAAAAAAAGTCATACCAATCAATGCTTGAAATTGTTTTTTTTTAAAGATAATGATTGTATAATTTTTCCATTACTTCTAAATTGACCCAATCAGAAGGTACACGCATAAGTGTTTTATTATTAGATAAAATTTTCTGTATGTTAGAGTCCGTCAAACCAAATAGTTGATCACCAGTATACTTAGATAAAACTCCAATATGTTGCCAAACTGCTGTGGGTGTATCTTCAACAAAACTATCCATTTTGTTCAAATTATTCCAAATCTCAACATGACATAATCCATTCAATATTTTTTGTATAAAATTGCAGTTGGTTTTCTTGTATGTATACGAAAATGATGATAAATAATCATTACCTGCTCCATGACATTCCTCGTTTGATGAAAACCCTATTTTGAATATGCTAATAGATATTTTATCTAGCAGAATCAATAGTGGTTGAAAACTAACATCAGTCAATAATTCTTTCAAAATTTTTTGATCTTCAAAACCTATAATTTTTTTGCCTGAAAATCTAATATTAACATTAAACAGTTAGAAATTGCCGCAGTAAGAGAATCTTCAACAGTAGTCATAAATGAGCCACATTGACAACAATATCCAGGCAATTCAGAACCAATAATATTACCTTTAACAATAGTAGTAGCAAAATAATACCCTTTCAATTCTATTAGAGTTTTCATACCAACTCTGAGTGGATATAATGGTGAAATATTATTTGTTTGGTAAAGCTTGAATCCACCATTCTTTAGCATTTATTCCATAATGTAAATTAGGAACAATCTCATCTTTAGAAAGTAAGGTTGCGTGATAATTTTTTTTGGTATTCATTAGATTTATTATTTAGACGGTGTGAGGAGAACTTTTATCTGCAGATTATTATTATTTTTCTACACAATGAAAATACAAGTTCATAAAAATTTTAAACATTAATTAAAGTTCCCGACAATCAATATTTTTTTTTGAATCATATATAAAAACAATTTCTAATGCAAAGCAACTTTATTCCTGATTCTCAAACTGAATGTAGCAAAAAAAAATGCAAATGAATGAAGAATTTTACGAAAAAAATTTTTAGAAATTAACGAAAGAAAATTATCAATTTAAGAAAATTATTTACAAAAATCATTATCTTTAAAAAAAATTACAATTTATCAAAGAACGTAATCAGTGTATATATAAAATTCGCTGTATAACTAGTACAAATTTAGAAGCTATTTTACAAATTTTAGAAACTATCTGCAGAATTATATTAATGTGTGACATTAACCCGGTCATTGCGGACATTGAATTTTATACACTGAACACCATCAATACCAAATTGTCTCCCAATATTCTCATTTAGAATTTTTATTAAAAGCTTTTGAGCATTATCAAGTTTATTTTGGCAAATGTTAGCATCTTCCTTATGACCTTTACTTCTTAAATCTTTTTCGTTGGATTTTAAAATCTCTATTAACTTTTGTAAATTTTTACTACAACTTTCATGGTTTCCTTGAAACGAATCTGCCAGATCATTGAGATTTTTTTGATTCACGTTATGTCTTCTTTTTTGCAGTTGTTTCATCAACATCAATATAATCCACATTAATAGAAAACTCCTCATGATTGCTATTTATTACACGGAATATTTTGTAATCGGTGTTTGGAAGAATATGCCAAACATTAGCGTATGTTTTTGAAGGTGTTTTTCTTTCTCTGATATCCAATATTAAGTGGGATTTGATTGGTATTTTTGAATATGAGCCACCTAGTTTTTTAACAATTAGATAATTATATCTAATAAAAAGCCAAACATCAATCAAGAAAAACATACCGTCTTCAAATCTTCTAACGTGCTCTTTCATAGCACTGCCACCCAGGGTTGGCAAATTGATGAACTGATGGATTTTGGACTGGTCCATTGCCATTAATAAAATACTAAATATTACACTAATGGACCAATAGACCATCAATGAACTGCTCATTTGCCAACCCTGCTGCCACCTATTAATAATTCAACAGCCCATTGCTCATTAGAAACATAGAAATCAACCAACCCATCATTTGTGAACAGTTTTCCTACTGATGGTGATAGATAGGACCCAGGAGGAAGACAACTATATCCTGCACTGTAAATTCCATGCACCATGCTCTAGTTTTCCAACTATAGCTTCCATTGATAGATCTTCCATCACAACATCTTGATAATTTGACAATGATAGAATCAGTGTGATTTAAGAATAAAAAGTCCAATAAGAAGTTAGTCAACATCATACCTCAAATGGACAGTTGATCTCAAATGAATAAATAAATAAATGAATGGAAAATAATTTTGTACACAATTTGTTCATTACCTTTATCCTTGTCAAGTTCAATTAATGCACATTGTAAATTATTGCCTGGTCCTCCCACTTCTTCTTCATCTCCTTCAACTCCTCTTTTTCTTTTTTCAATTCATCTCTCTGCTCTTTCCAATTGCTCTTCTGCTCATTATTCCTCCATTTCTCATTTGCAAATTTCTGTCCCAACTTGTCTAATCTCTTCTCTTTTGCCTCTAACCTTTTCTTTGCATCTTTATATTCTTCATTTGCTATTTCAAGTTGTTTTTTGATTTCTTCAACTGTATTCATTTTTTTTTAAAAAAAAATTTAATTAGATCTGCAGCAATTATGCATAATTTGAACCAATAAATGAGTTATAACTTTTGGCACATGACTTGGAATTTTTTACAAGATTATTAATAATAATTCAAAATATTTTTAGAATCAAATTAGAAATTCATGAATTATTGGACGACCTCCTTCAAAATGTTTGGATGTACTTTGTGAAAGGAAGTGAGGTTAAAAATAGCAAAGGACATTATTCTGCAAGATGTCACTATTGTGGAAATTTGAAAAACATCTGGTAAAGGAATGTGTTATAATGCTATGAAACACTCGGTGCAGTGGTATTGACCATCTTGTATAACGTTGTATAATGATAAGTGATTTCATGGTTTGAATGTGCTCACCATCTGTAAACTTGATTGCTTGAAGATGGACAGGGATGTTGTAGAAAGTTG